ATTTTCCGAGATATTAAGAAAAAACTAAAGCCCCATTTTTTTTTTTCACTTAATTGTTCATACATGATTTATTCTACTGAAGAAAGAATAGAAATTGTTGCAACCTATTATCGAAATACTGAATGTGCTAAAGCTGCTGCAAGAATTTATAATACGAATCATCCAGACCACAACGTGAGCCATCAAAACGTTAAACAGAAGACTTTTTCGGGGTGCATTGGACGATTTTGGATCTCGTGTGGAAAGCTGTATATTTATTTGGTAATTGATGATCACTTAAAGTCGCTTGTCCTGTAGAAACGAGACATCTGAAGCCAATTGCAATGGTTTGAAAAATCAGTTGGAAATTAATTTTTACTGTTGAGATGATGATAAGAAAAATCGTAGAAGGCCTACTTATTTAAAAGATTATGTTACTTATTTAGATTCAGACGAAGATTAATTTGTTGATATTGAAATTTGCGTCTTGTTTTCGTGATTATTATTTTATTGTCATCAGTTTCAGTTTTGTTATAAAAAAAAGGAAACGTGTTATATAAGTAGTTTCTTTAAGGGTAGGAATAACTACCTTACAAAATGTTCTAGAATAAATGTTGGAACTACCTAGCTATTCAGAATTACCCTGCAATTTATCTTGATTTCAGAAAACACATTTATGATACACCGATGTCAGTTTGTAAACATTATTTATGGGGACGTAATAAAAAATGTCAATACAATCAACCTCAAGTGTAAATAGCCGTAACAAATTTATGAAATAAGTCGAGTGAATTACAGCAAAAAAAATGAACCTCGAAGGTTCAGGATAAACGCACCGTTTCGAATCGTTAACAAGTAATAGCCTCTGGAGGATTTTCATTAGTTTGGGTACTACCTGTTTATTTTGTTATTATATTCTGATGGTGGTACAGCTGTTGCTCTAGACTCTAGAACATTCAGTTGTCCTTAAGAGCGTCTGTCTCTTCGAGAGCACCTGCCATTGAACACTTAGAAAAAATTCTCCCTTCAAAACATCTGTCCCCATTATGAAGATCTTGTTTAATGTCGGTTAGTTTCAGATGGTGATATTTTCGAATTTTATTGAAAACACGTTACATTATAATAGATAAAGAGTTAAATTATATTAAAATATAAGTAAAAAACTGAAATGTGATGTAAAAATGAGTAAGATGAATGTCAATTAAGACAAGTATACANCTAATCGCTTGCTAAATGCTCGTGATTTGTCTGAACTGATCTGAATCTCCCTGAGACTGTCTTGCACTTAGAATTAAGTCTCTAGGGCACTGGTAACGTCCACTTTTTGCTACATCACTAGGGGCGTAACAATATCAATACAGCTATTAGCTAGGGCCAAATTCTAGAAGCATTTCGTGTTACAACCCCAACCATTCGAGTTACCGGTGGTTCTACAGTATTTCGTCCCCACTGAGTCGGAAAAATTCAACCGGAAGTGAAAAAATCAAGATGGCGACTAAAATCTGACTTTCTGTTTTGATTTTTTCTTTCTTTTTTCCCAGTCTCCCAAAATGTAGCTAGAGCTATCCACGTGCAAATGCAGGGGTGTATGTGACGGAAATGTATGCGAGTGCCGCAAGCAATATTTCGCCCCCAAATAAACTTGCTCTGAAGCTGAGGCATTCAAAAGAAATCTATATTTTCCACAATCGCTAAACTGTTTCTTATTGTGTAAGACATATGAATTCAGCCGCTGTTTTTCATTCAAATAAACTTATAACTTCAGAGTGTACACTCCAATACGTTGGTTTCCTCTCAAATAAGTCATGGATGCCGTCTTAATCGCCATTATCCTACCAGAACGCCATCTTTTGCGACACTAAATCAGGTGAAATATAGAAACGGTCGGATCTCGACTGCCTACTTGGATTTTCACTTCCCGACTAGTCTTTATTAGAAGTTCACCTACTCTGAAATAGTAGAGCCCACTTCAATTTGAGTCGTATAATGACAGTCATCTTGATTATTTCACTTTCGGCCAATTTTTCGATTTGATAACCGCTAGATTCGAACTCAGGGCGTTCAAAAGAGAACTTGGTAACTTTTTGTGCAGACTTCCCCTGACTATATTGTCAAAATTTTCATTTTGGGCTAGATTTAAGATTTATCAGATAACAATCTTCTTCTTCAGGAAAAAGGTACATCCTTGCCGGCTCATCGTTCCAACAAGTACCCTTCCAGAGGTCTCCTGCGGCACATTCTCCAGCAAACGTACAATGCCGCCGTGACGGACCCAGAAAAGTTGAACCAGTATGAGCCTTTCTCTCCAGAGGTTTACGGCGAAACTTCCTATGATCTCGTATGTCAGATGATCGACCAGATCGAAATATCGGCTGATGACGTGTTCATCGATCTCGGTTCAGGAGTTGGTCAGGTCGTCTTGCAGATGGCAGCCGCTACGCCGTGCAAGATTTGCTTGGGGATAGAAAGGGCAGAAGTGCCCAGTCGATACGCTGAAAGCATGAACAGGAATTTCCGGACGTGGATGCAGTGGTACGGCAAAAAATACGGCGACTACAAACTCCTGAGGGGAGACTTTCTGACCGAAGAGCATAGGGAGAAGATCAACCAAGCGACCATTGTTTTTGTCAATAACTTCGCCTTCGGGCCCTCTGTCGACCACCAGCTGAAGGAACGATTCGCGGACCTGAAGGATGGCGCGAGAATCGTCTCTTCGAAGAGTTTCTGTCCGCTGAATTTCCGCATCACGGACAGAAATCTGAGCGACATAGGGACCATAATGCACGTTTCAGAAATGTCACCACTGAGGGGATCCGTTTCTTGGACGGGGAAGCCCGTCTCCTACTACTTGCACATCATCGATCGGACGAAGCTGGAACGGTATTTCCAAAGATTGAAGAAGCCCCAGCTGAAGGTAGTTTTGAGCACGGCAATGGATTCGCGATCTAGTAAAGTTAAGATTCATTTTCAGAACGGTGACGACGAAAGCACGACGAGTAGTAGCCGAGGGGCTCGCGACAGGGCCAAAAGAGATCTGTCGAAGCAGCTGGCGATGGATTCTTCTTCGGATTCTGACTTCGAGGACCAGGACAGTAGTTACGGACCTACCACGAGAAAGGCTTGGTCTGATTACTGTTCTATCAAAGGCAAAAGTAGTCAGTCTGAAGAAGAAGCACCGTCGAAGGTAAGACATTTTTTATTTTGTATGAGTTGCTGCCATTTTGAGTGTTTCTTCTTGATGAATCTATAGTGGGCGAATCATTTAACATTTACATACCTTATACATAAATGTGAGCATATGTCTACAACTTATAGGGATTAGTAATGCATTGTGTCCCAGCTACAATTCTATCACCCAACCACCTTACTTCCGTAATCATAGATAATTTCTTCGCCGCTATCAATTCTATTATTCCAGCACCCCTACTACAAAATCATCAGTAGGACTGCCATACTTGTAATACTAAAGCAAATTCAAATCCAAGATAGAGTGGATGTAAACACTGACATGCCCTACGCACGTGATATTGAAAATCCCAAGAATTGGCCAGGGTCGTATTCAGAACCAACAGTTGATCGCAAATGCTGTATCATACTTAGGAAAACTTTTTTATAATAACGAGTGAAATACACAAGTTTTGCAGTTCAACGGGAAAAATGCAGATATTATGTGTAATATAAAAAGATTTTCATTGGATTTTTCACAGCGCACTCAAGCATTATATGAAAAGAGACGTAATTATTTCTTTATTGATAATTTTTATTTTATGTAAAATCAAAAGGAATATTAATCAAAATTATTCAACTGGATGAATTTGTCTCTTCATCAGTAGTGTCATCCTCTCCAATCTGAATTATCAGTGGCTCGATTTGTGCCTCTATTATGTTATCAAGCCTCCACATCTTTGTCTTGATTTCCGATATCACATGCCGAACACACTTCTCCCATTTCTCCGCTGTGACTCTTTACAAAGCCTCATCAAAATGTACTTTGAGATCTGCAAATTTGAACGCGGTGTTATGCTGAGCTACAAAATTCTTCACAACCGCCTATACTAACTCGATGGGATTGAGCTCGCAGTGGTATGGAGGCAGGCGAAGGACAATTTTGTTTTGACCTGCTGCCATCTCATCGACTATATATTTTTGGTATTCAAGCTTGCGCTCCTTGACAATTTTTAGTAGCTGTACTCTTAGCATTGAGTCTTCAAAGCTAATATTCTTTGATCGCAACCAATTTTGGATTTCATCCTTCTATGAAGACGTCGTCGGAATCTTCTCTAACCGTCGCGAATGATGAGGTGCATTGTCCAATACAATCACAGCATTATCCTCCAGATGGGGTAGAACTTTGGAAAACCACTGTTCGAAAGATTCACCGTTCATTTCTTCGTGATAATCTCCAGTTCTCTTCAACTCGAAACACCACAGCCCTTCAGCAACAAACCCATTCTCATTGCCGATGTGACAAATAATAAGCCGTTTTCCTTTACCTGAAATTGTGAAGAGGTATGTAAGTAAATAAAACAAATACGAGGGTTACTTTTTATATATTGAGATTGAGGCAGGTCTCAATATAAATATAAGTTTACATGATGGATTTGTTAATCCGGTTGATAGTACATCTAGAAAGGTCCTCCTACATGAGGTCACAGTTTCATCGACCCATACTTTAGGGGTAGTATGACCAGCATTAACTCAGGTTTCATCCATATAATTAATTGTTCTCTGTTCCCTATAATATTTTATTTTGGTCAAATACTCTCTCCTCCATAACACAATTTCCTCTCTTGGCAATGAAACATCTTCATTTATTTCTGTGAGTACTTTGTCTATCGTGGGTATTTCATTTCTGAAAAAGTACTCATGCACTTTCCTCCTGATTGCATGTTTATCAGCATCATCTATTGATTTTATAATGGTTTGACGATTCTGATTTGTATTCGGCTTGGAAAATGTATGATTCTGTTTATATTCCCGTAAAACATTGTAAATCGAAGCGCAAAACACTCCAATTTCATCGGAAACTTTCGATACTACTTCGTCGACAGTCGATGTCTCAATTTCCTCCATCTCTTTCTTGAACACATTTAAAATCACTTCTTTCATCTCAACACTCAAATGTCTTTTTTTTGGATCGTTTCCTGGCTGGACTCAGAGGATAGCTCACAGTGTCATCAGCAGTGTCTGTACTGGACATCTTGGAAAACAATTTTAAACAACATACTATAACGCACGCCACACAAACACGCAAACGACTGATTACTACAACCCTGTGCTGGTACCAAACTTGTACCAAGAAGACGAATTCACCAATGAACGCTGCTCTTTCCATCTGACACTGGGTGATCACGTGAACATCACGCTTCGGTTTTGTTTTGTTTTACTCTATCTTGGATTTGGATAGACTTTAATTTTGAAGAAATTGAATGTTTGGACTGGGATTTTTGGTGATCTATTGTAGGTCCTTATTTTATTAATGGTAACCTCAGCGAAGAAAAATGTTTTGAACATCTTGGTACAACTGTAAACCCCACGATTCCTCCTAGTTGAAGACGATGACAATCATAAATTGAAGATCACCGAACATTTCTACGAGATGGAGCTTCCTCACATCTTTTCCTTATTATGAAAGTCAATTTACAAATGAAAAATTCACAGGGATCTGGAGTGGACTCAGTTGTGTATGACAAGTTTTGTTGAAGATTCGGAGGTATGGGTTTTTGGTGATGAGAGGTCTTTGGTGGAATAGTTTCCCCCGAAATTAAAAATCGACGATACTGAGCGATTTCGGAAATAAAGTGGGTGGCAGGTTTTTAACTGGGACACACTGTATACGCCCAGGTGATTGCATTGCTCCATTTATTATTTTATTGAAAACTTATTCCTATATATCGGGGCTCTCTGGATGACATTCATTTGATTCATCTGGATGTGTTATTTTTAAAGTTTTTACAATCTGTTGAAACTTTACATTCATTATTTTCCATCTCCTAATTCCTCTTAAATAATAAGGAGTTTTTCGAAATGTATACGTAGAAAATTTGAATAAAATACGTTCAATGAACTACCCCATTTGTTTTTCCACCACTACTATTATTAGCGTGTATAACAAATGTTATTTTACTTATTTTGTATGGACTGTGTATTTATTCAATTTCAGAACAAACGCCAGCCGAAGAAGTTGAGGCGCAAAGTAAGTCGGGGTGCCAAGGCTCAAGGGCAGCAAGACAAGCAGCCTGCACAAAAACCTGCTGCGAAACCAAGGAGAGGTCGTGTAAAGAAGGCTAAGCCCAAGAAACAGATCAAGATTAACGGTTTAGACCTATTACATAACGAAACATTGCTCAGCACCTCACCTCAAGCACCTGGAAAGAAACCTCCTCCAGCTCCTGGATGCGTCGACCAGAAACTAACCTCGCTCAGCTCAGAGGTGATCACCCATGACGAACTTGATATACCGGAACAACCTGCCGAAACGCCGTATGGGTTGCAGGTTCTTCTGGACATGTTCAAAGGCAACTACATGCAGATGCTGAGTCAAATGAAGACTCCATCATACAAAGTATTGGTGGAGTCGCAATTAGACGAGGAGCGGGAAAGGAATAAGAAATTGAAAAGTCGTGCCGCACAGTTGGAAAAACAAATCAAGGTGCTCATAGACGACAGTGTGGCACTACTCAAAGCAAGAATGAGCGAACTGGGAATCAACGCTACTTCTCCTGTGGACCTGCTGGCCAAAGCTAAAGAGATCGTTTGTCGGCACAAAGAGTTGCAAGCGAAAGCTAGCAAACTGCAGGTACAAGTTGCTAATTTGGAAGCGGTGAAAAATAATTTGGTGCTGCAACGACAGGCCGAGGTTTGTGAGAAGTACGTCGAAGTCAGTTCGACGCACGAGTTGTCTCCCAGCGTTGCACAGGAGTACATACTGCGAGAAATATCATCGACCCTGTCGCACCGGAAAAAGTTGCGAAATGAAGTATCGAAACTGGAAAGCGATCTTGTGAATTTGCAGAAAACCGGAGAAGAAAGAAAGCAGGCTCAAGCATTGGCCGCTAGGCAGCAGCAGCAGCCTGCGAAGCCTTCCAGGAAGTCTAGAGAATACAGGGCTCGATCTCAGGATTGGCCTGACGTTCCGGACATAGCCAAGATCGAAGAACAGAACCCGGAGATTTTGGCTCAGAAAATCCTGGAAACCGGAAGGAAAATCGAGGCTAGCAAGATGTCGGCTATCAACAACAAAGTGCCTCAACTGCTCAACAACTCCAAATCAATACAGACTAATCAAAAATCTTTAGTACGTAATAACATGCCCGCTCCTCTTCCAATGACGAAAAGACAGAAGACTAACCATACCTACTCAGCTGCGAATATACCCAGTGTACCAAATAATACTAACGTGATTTCCAAGAGCCAAGAACCGCCGCGAATAGCGAACTTCGAGGATCGATTGAAGAGCATCATCACGTCGGTTCTGAATGAGGATGCTCAAAACCGGACGAAATTGACTCAGACTGCGACGGTTTTGCAATACAATCAAACCAGTAATAATAACGTCCACAATACAAGTTACGGATCTCAGAATTACTCTTATCAGAACAGTTTCATTCCACCAAAGCAGGAAGAAAAGCAACAGCGAAAATATCCGGTGCAACAGAACAAGTTTTCGCCGCGTTGCGAAACCGTTGTGCGGCAAAACGAAGAGTTGCCACATTACCCGCATCAAGAAGGTTTGGCGAGTATGATGGAGTGCTACAGAGAGGAGATTCCAAAGGTATCACCGCAAGTACAATTGGCCAGGCAGCTGAATCCAGAGCAGCCGGATTATACGCAAGTGTCGCCTGCTAAGCTGGCTTTAAGGCGACACTTGTCACAGGAGAAATTGGCCCATCAGCAGTTGCCATACAATCCTGCAGACGGAATGGTTGGGGCCAGGACAATTGGTATGTGCAAACCGAAATACATCCACGTAGTCCAGAATAACGTGATTTTCCTAAAGTATCGAGTTATTGATAGGTGGACGTGCCCTAAACCAACTTGAAAATACATTTTTTTGTTAGGGTTTCGATCAAATATAAACTTTTCTGGGTTATTACTACAAAGTCACAATGTTTTCCAACCGTGTTTCTTGCAATAATTCCACTAATCAATCAAATAATCGATCATTATTTTTTCAATATTATTTTTACCTTGACTTGTTTTTATTTATTTATGTTGTAATACATTTTTATTTCTATCATTTGAAACACCGCCATTTAGTTTCTCAAGCACTTGTTTACTCCAGCTCACTCAAACTTTTCTCAGTATGATCACAGAACTCATAATTATATCATAGTAGAACACCCTTATGTACCTATTGGTGCCTTCATTTTGGGACAAATCAGGGGCATAGAAATCTGATCCATTTTTGAACAATAAGAGATAATCAATATTTAGCTTGCAGAAAATGAAGTGAGAACAATACTATGAGGCAGTTACGTATTCGATATACAAAGATACCTTTTTGAAAATACTTTAGTTCGACATTGACGAAGTGGACTCTGTAAACAGAGACTTTGATTCAAGCAGGTTTCTGTTGGTTAATTTTTGGCGAAGCCGATTTCTGAATATGCATCGTATGGTTGGGTATTATTCCTTCAGGGGTTATGAAGTGACCCAATAACTCAACTTCTCTTCTTAGAAATTTGCATTTATCGAATTTTCAATTGTGAATTGCGCAATTTCTTGAAGATGACTTTTAAGTTGGATATGCAAGGCTTGTCGAGAATATTATAATGTCATCCATATATACCAGGCAGATCTTGTTTTTAAAATGTTGCTGGAGCATTTTTAAAGCCAAAGGGTATTTCGAGGTACTCAAAATGTCCATTTTCGATATATATATATATACGCAGTATTTTCGATAGACTAGGGGTCCATTTCTATTTTATAGAACTCAGATGCAAGTATTGACATCTACCTAACTTATCCAGAATATCGTTGATATTTAGAAGATAATATCGGTAATCAATAGTCTTTTTTCATTTACTTTTCGATAAGCGACTATGATACATAATTTCTGTTTGCCACTGGGGCCCAGTTTTCTGTAAGATTCTGATAGGTCTGCTCAAGGACTCTGGCTTGGTCTTATAAAGCCATCGTCCAAACATTTTATTGATTTTTCAGCACTTCTTCCTTGTATACAAATGGATACTATATGAGTACACAGGAACAATTCCTCTGTTATTTGATTATCTACTGAGACCTGATGTCCCTTAGAGGGTATCTTATATAGTCTAGCGCATACTTGGATCTGATCAGCCTTCTCCGTGAGTCTCTGTCTTAGATTTTCTCAGAGCTTTGTTGTATTCAGTTAGATACCTTTGTATTGTTCCCAGAAATCATTGATGTGTATCTAAAAGTAAAGGTTTGCCACGTGAGATATAAATAGGCGAGGTTGGGAATTATGAATTAGTCTACTTATCTCCTGAAGACGTTAACTTGGTTGGCGCGTCTGGAAATGGTTCTTCACTGAAATAGCAATTTATAGGAACTGTTATAGGCACTCAGAGTCATACAGGTTGGTCATTATATTGTTTATACGCCTAAAAAATGTAGGACTTATCCTAAAGTTCAGACCAAGAGAATCTAAAATTATTAGCCAAATTTGTTCATATCAATATTGAGGTCTCCGACAAGGCAAAGTATTAGATTCAGATTAGCAGTATTAGATTTAACACTAGGATTGTAAAAGACGTGGTTTACAACATAATGCACAATGTCTATCAAACACATTTTGAATCTCAACCTTGATTTTGGGTGTCCATCAAAACTTACTAACCCAATATTTGATTTCCAGGTGATCTTATGTCAGGTGAAATTGAAAGGACACTTGAAATTTCCAATCAGTCAATAATCAATGCAGCCGTAGACATGAGTGATATTCAAGGTACTGCCACGTTGACATCCAGGTCGGTTGTTAACGCTAACTTACCACCCCGTCCAGAGCGAGTTAATGTCAAAGTGCCTAACCCCGACACACCTCAAACACCCAAAGATGTAGAACCAATGCGTCAGCAAGTATACAGTCCAATTTCAAGACCATCATCCACAGAAGGCTTAGAGGGATTAGCGTACATGCATTCCCATGTTAAGGTATATTTTCAGTTTTAAATGACATCGACTTTTTACAAAATTAAGGAAGCTCTTGAAAAAATAATGAAGAGACCCCGGCTAATACCACGAAGGTCTCAGATAATAAATCAATTACTAGATTCCACAGAATTTTTGTATTTTTAATTTGAAAACATACTCAACTTCAATTGTTTCTGGTTCAAGTATGTTTTTTTTGTAGCAATAAAATTGGGCTGGTGATCATTGTGGGTTTTGCCATCAATCATCTCAAGGTAGCGTACGTAAATATGCAGCCGAGTCTTTTGAAATTGTTTGTCCAGCTCAAGACTGACCAAAATTACATTGGAAAAAAAGTGGTTATCTTCACCACCAAACGTCACAATCAAATTTATTCAAGCTTGTTATAAATGTAGTTTGTAGTATGTTTGCTGTGGAAGTACTAACTGGAACCGAATGTCTTGGGTTAAAACCCGATTCGACTGGAGAAATGGCTGGTTATCCGGGTTCATAACCAGCCATTCCTCCTCAGTGGAGTTCCTCAATTCAACGTTTATTGTTTTCAGTACATACCTCCTCCTCATCCGAGTCCCAGGCAGCAGTATTCTCCCAGAACGACTACCGTTTTGTACCCAACTCAATCCCGAGCCAACTCTGTCAACTCCAACTACTCTTCCAACGAGCTGTACACGCCCCTTCCGAGAGCTGACATCAAACCTTATCACGAGTCTTACTTCAGCGACGTAAAACCCCCATCTCAAGTTGAACCTCCTGAACAACGAGGCAACTTTGTCGCCGAGGGCTTGGCTGCTAGCTTACAAACTAGGGTGCTGGCTCCTCCTATCAAAGAGGAAGTTGAAATCTATGAAAGGAGGCATTCGTACATCCAGCAGTCAATGTTGCCAAATATATCTTCGTATCAGGAGTCGGGAAACGTGGTAAAAGCCGAAGGAAGCGAAGGGATGTACAAGAGAGAATCCCCCATTATCCATGGACCAATCAGACAGAGCGTCAAGCGACAAACAAGCTATATCGAAGGTCAGCGGGGTAATTTTATGACTAACATTTCTCCTGAACCGCATTTGAATATGTCTACTCCGCTGGTAGATGAAGTTCAAGAGCAGCAGCGAGCGAGGAAGTGCAATGAAGAAGGTATGATTTTTCTCAGTACTCTGCATGGTTGTGTATCTGTATGGTCAAGTATTTTTTATTAAAACTTGCTAACTGAGGGGAGTTTTCCATCGAAGTAGGGTATCATAGTTGCACATGTACTTGTGGAGGTGTTTCAGATATCTGTCATTGAACGAGTCATAACTTTTAGGAATAATACATTCTAGGAATGTTGCATGGGAAATCTCGGCAGTTAACAAAAACATTTTGTTATTTGACGAGTCTGTATATACTGAAATTTCATTAATTTATTAACAGATACGTGAATCTTAACAAACTATTTAGACCGTGTCGGGGAGATTAGAATAACTTTTTACAGTTATTTCAACATTTTCAGAGCAAGATAGTGTACACCTATCTATGTTTTTACTCAGACATGCTGTGATTTGGGTGAATTTTAAGCACAAGCTTTTGCTGACTCGCTGAGGGGGAGTTTGTTTTCCCTCCTGGTGCAAGGCAGATTAATAAGATATCCTGTTTTTGAGGTGATGAGTAGCAAAGGAGGCCTGTCGTCGCAGAACCTTTCGTTACTGTGACAAGGCTTTCTACCACTAGATGGCGCCCGGAGCCCCGAAGATTCCGTTACTGTCACTGATGGGCTCTAAAGTCATACGTCCTTTTGGCACGGATGCATGCACCTTAGAATGAGGCGTCATTTAGGAGGGCGCTTAACTCCATGGGTGACACCTTACCCATCAGGAGTATTATAAGCCCCTCCCCCCACTGTATATGTACACTGAAAATAGAAATTTCCATAATGTTGTTGATTTTAATGACATCGTTCCTTTCACTTTCCTATACTAGTCCCTCTTAATTAATATTCTTTTTTATTCAAGGGGGCTAGCCCAGTACAGAACATTAATAATTACATATTGTAACAATTAAAAGAGAGATAACCAATATACCAATAATTTTGAGATGATAAGACATTAGATATCTGGTTATACATTTCACAAGTGATAAGATAAAAAAGTATGATTTGCATATTATCAATAAGATGAATAGCAATTTTGGAAAATATTTTAAGATCATCAGCAAATAAGAGGTTTGTTCTATTCGCCATGCCTACCGTTATATCATTGATAAAAATATTGAGAAGCAGAGACCCAAGTCAGAACCCTGTGTAACACCTGATGCTACTACGATTTTGCTGGATATAAAATTATTAACTTTTATGACTTGTTCTTGAATCCATTTTAGAATAGACCCTGATGTGCCATAGCTACATAGTTTATGTAGTAAGAGCTCATGATTTACCTTGTAGAATGCCTTGGAGAAGTCAGTGTAGGTCTACCTGATATCCAGCGAAGCTACAAGTAAACTATGTAATTTACCAAGTTTAGTTTGGTGGAATTCCTTGATTGGAATCCGTATTGATCCTGAATCAAAACGCTTAAGAAAATGTTTGATACATAATCTGTTATAATCTGTCGTTTATAAGTTTCATAAACCGAAAACTTTATTGCATTCATAGTAAATTTTTGTCGCATTTACATCAGTAAAGTTAGGTGTGAATTCCCAGAAAACACTGAAAATATGATAGAGAAATTTTCATTTTATGTATTTCGAAAAGTATGTTTTTCATGTAACACTCTTTTTCACTGAATAGTTTACAAAACCAAAACACGTGTTTGGTGTTTCTCAAAGTTTGAATTTGTAATTAGATTATACGTAAACACAGGTAGAATTATCAGTCATTTAAATTGGTAGAGTCATCATTCATTTTTTTAAATCTGTGAAGCACTAAGTAGGTAGAATTTACTTGTATGAACAAGCCTGAAGAAGCTATTGTAAGTGAAACACGTGTTGCATTTTTGTAAAACTGTTAGGTAAAAATATCACAATAAAGTGTTTTTGGAATACGTTATGGATTTTCACCAAGTATCGGCCAATTCCATCATATAATTATGCTTTTCTGTTGAATTTTACCATTGAAGATATCTGTGAACTTTTGGATTACCCAATCAGGATTATTAGGTGGAACTCAGTTGATTTTCCGCTTCTACAATTGAAATTTTGCAATAAAAACAGTATTTCTATTATTGAGACATGTTTTTCGGAATCCAGTTTAAAATAACGTATCTATAAACCTAATTCTGGAACCATTAACACCAATATCAGGCTTTTAACTGGACAATTGTTATATTACCTAAGTGAAGACATCTCATTTTCAGAACTATGAACTATACTTTTTTTTGTGTTTTTTTAGTTCTATGTGTTAATATTCACAAATAAATATACGTTTTGGACAAATAAATACTGGAATATGAGTTATTAAAGTTATTGAGAAAACAAAACTTCATATTTTTCATTATTCACATAGTAAATTCTTCTGCGATTCATTTCCAGCAATTTATTGTAGTTTGATTTATACAGCGCCCTCTTTTGGGGCATCATATTAATATGCCACCAAGTATTTTAGAATGAACCGAAATTGACTCCGTTCGTCCTTATTGAATATTTTATATAGGATATTAACAAATCATGGTGGTCTGAATAAGTACAACATTAAAAGCGGTTTAGTGTTAATTTTAAAATTGCGCCCATAGCTGGTGCTATTGGCGTAAGAACAACGACTGCAATTTTTGTGTTCAACAGTATAATTAATATCGAAAAAATTAGTTAATTGGCGTAATTTATTTGCATTGATGTTGCGAAAAATGTACAATTGTATTCAATATTATCAATATCGTAAGTACGTTCATAATACCTGTTGTCTGCATTCTTCTCTTTGATGGAAAACTTGTGTAGTTCAGAATATATTAAAATACTAATATAGTCTCATTGTTGAACGTTTCTAAAACAGAGCTAACTAACAATTCAAAACACTCTACAACTTTTTGAAATGGTCCTAGAGCTTTTCAACTTCTATGAAAGAATCGATCTGAAATTTACTTGAATATGTTTAGTTGAACAGTTTCGACGTTTTCCTGGGAATAATAAAGTGTTTTGAGCCACTCATTCTATAATTGGAAATTATACTCTCATTTAATTACACCTCATGAGCTACACCTGGATCAGTGTTCAGGTTATTCAACAAATAGAAGAATAACATATAATATACATACGAATATACCCAGTCTTATAAACAAAAACACCAAGTACATATTGTTATTTGCGCCACATTTATTACTGTTAATAGTTACAGGTAATAGTGGAAAAGCACTAACAACTTAACATATTTTTCTGAATGATTCTCAAACTGACTTTGTGACGGATTCTTTTGAGTGAAGACATCGTACCCCAGTGAAATTCAAAACTTTTTTAACGCCTTATTCAACTTCAAATAACCTTCTAATAATTTTGTCTTCTTGTGTATTCCCAGTCCTTTTGGTATAAAAAATGTTAAGGCGTACGATTTACACTTTATATTAATTAGAATCATGCAAAAAATTGGCATTTTATTCAAAATGAATAATAATAAAAATTGAGCCTAACACTGAACCCTGTGATGTAACAGTTTCAATTCTTAAAAATTGATAGAGGCAGTATTCCCATGGTAATAGTTAAAAACTAAATGAGAGTATGAATGACAAGTCGTAGAAAGGTTCATTACTTGACACGATATGCTATTTATAAAATCAAGCGGTCGAGAACACGTGGATTGTTTAAAAATGACCAAAATACTACATTTCTGAATATCGAGTATTATCTCATCAAAACACCTTCAATTTGATTCAATCTAAGTATGTCATATTCCCTAATTTCATTCATTGGATACATTTTATGAATTAAACCCTTTCTGTTTTACTGTACAGTTATATTGACACCTTAAATTTTTGTTTAGATGTTGACGTCGTGGAAGATGATGTGGAAGAGTCCAAATGGCAAGACAGGATATCCTCCGGCTTCGATCGCCTCGTAGCTTTTGCATCGACTGAACTAGACAAAAGGCGACGGTCAACGGAAGGAAGTGACAGCTGTAATACGTCACCCGATTCCGGCATTGGCCACGGTCATGGGGACTTGCCCCCTTCTTCCATTGTTCCATTGAATAAACAAGCCCTTAAATTGAATCCTAACTCGAAGCCTACCTTGTTCAAAATGCCGACCAGCAAATCTTATCTAGATTCGCCTCCTATTTTGGATCAGGGGACCGACGAATCCGGTCCCCCCCGAACGCCTTCACCCTCATCCCCCCTTCCTTCTAATAATAGCCTCTCTATAAACTTCAGTCCCGAGCCCATACCTGAAAAAAGTCCCACCAGACTGAATCCCGCCCTTTTGAAATATCAGCGTTATCCGGAAGAAAAGAAAAAGCCGGATACGCACTTCAAAAAGAAGTTTTATTATAGGGAGCACTGGAGGGATGACAGCTGGTCGAAGAATGAGGAAAGGCACGAACCAATGAAAGATAAGTTCAGACCGAAAGGTAAAGATTGGGACTGGAATAATAAGGAGCATCACAATGATCTTCATCATTTGGTTGGTGATGAATGGGGCAGGTCCCACGATCACTATAACTGGAAAAATTGACACTATTTGAACTATTACTATGGCAGTTTATATGAAGATTTCACAAAGCAAATGTACAGTATGTCGTATCCTTATTTCTTTTAACGTTGTATTCATGTTGGTTTTTCACATGAACAGACCATGTCATGATATGTTATTTATTAATTACTCTGGAAATTGCATGCTGGCCATGATGGATTGAAACACATAACCAGCTTTTTGGTTAACTTTTTTCAGTCCGCAATTAGTCAATTTTTATCCTAGAATCATTAACCAATTAATTATTTCACAATTCTTATTCAAGAGATGAGCCACTTCTTCAAGCTAAAAATATTGACACTCAATACATTTTCATTTTCCAAATGTTTTTATCACTCTTATGAATTTGTTTTCTATCATTTTTAATACGTGTTTCACTAACCAGTAGCTTTTTCAAGGTTGTTTAATTCTATACTAAAGTAAAAGTTTGGTATTAAGCGTACCTGAAAAAGCTATTGTATAGCGAAAAACATGTGGTTTTGTAAACTGTTGATTGAAAATCTCACAATGAAGTGTTATTTGACTATGTTATGGGTTTTCATCAAGTATCAGCCAATTCTATCAAATAAATATCTGATTCAATCGCTAAACGAATGTTTGGAGTACAAACTGGATAGGAAAAAGTGTTTTCGTATCGTTTTCAATGTTCATGCGAAAGTAGTTGTTTCCGAAATACTTTCTTTCCAGTTTGTAATTTATATACATAATATTCTGTACATCTTTGTAAAGAGCTAATTTTGAACTCGGTTAGTTTGTTCATTCCTCCAGAAGTTCTCTACAATTATAGTATGAAGATGGAGAAGTAGAAAGCCTGAAGGATTTTTTCCCAAAAACTAATCTCCCCTGAAAAATATACCCCTTTCAATTCAAATAGATTTTACTTTCTTCAGAACATTCGAAAAATACATGATACGAAAATTCCCTTTGTAGATTTCAAAATTTTCCTAATCATCCTCCAATGAATTAAATATCAATGTTTTCATTGTCACATTTCTTGTCATCAATATATATTTATGTAGTGCAGATTATCACCAATGTTTTTCAGATTCCAAAAGTAAATCGTTATCAACTGGACTGTGAAAACTCTTTTCTTGACCGAGTTGAGGATCACCGCATAAAAATTATCTGAATGACAACATCACGAATAGTGTTTTCACAGTTCTGATATGTAAAACATAATTCATGGTTTTTTTTTTCAATGAATATTGTGTGTTCTTGGAAGATACGTAATAAATGTAAGACTTCTGTTAGTGTGGCTGCTTGGAACACTGACACGTACTTGGAAATACCTACGCTTGTACTGAAGGGATCTATTTTGCACCAGACGTATCCACGTTTCTCTCTGCATGAAATGTACGGAGTAGGCACTAAAATTTTGCTTTGGTTCATATCAATTTTTGCACAATGGCATTTTTTAAGGTTTACTCTGTATACTGTTTTGTCGGTGATATTATGTGCTTATAATTTCTATTATACTTTTTTGTTGTATAAGTTTAACTTTATTAACATCAATTATTATATCAATATGTTGTTATGATTATTACTTATGTTATAGTCTATTTTTTTTTAGTGCTATGTTAAGAATTTTTTAAACAGTTTTGTTTGTGAAATTTTATTTCATACAATTCTCCTTTTCAGTTTGTTATACCTCTCACACATATTTTTTCATAATTTTCAATCGATTTCCAACCAAAGGTTAATTTTACCATAGTAGTCTTATCAAACTGAAGATACAGCAAAATTTGAAGAGTCAAAATCCAAATTGGTCGAATTGAGGGACTGGTCATTATCGTCTGTATTCAAGAACGATGACAAACAAACTTTGAATTTTGATACATTTTATTACTTCGCAGGACAAAGTTTGGGTATATTTTATCGCCCCTGAATACAAATGTTTTTGCATTTTGTCATTGGTCGATTTGAAGATTGGAAATAATAGAGGTATTCTTGATACATTTCAAGAATATACTTTTGAATGTGAATAAGACTAGGAATAGATTGTATGTTACATGTATTTGAATAAGTCGGTAAATATGGTAACACATACTGCCAATTATTTAATAAACATTGTATGTATGTATCACTCAATTTATTTCCGTCCTGGCATGTCATTCCTTATAGCTTCTGGACCCACAATGTTTTGAGGGGCATATCGTGATATTATATGTTCATTGCGTACCAAAAACAAACATGAAAAATATTCAAAAACTAGGAGAACTTACTGCCTAATCCTTTCAGAACCATACCGATTTCTACCGGTCCCGTAAAGTGATATTTTGATAGTTGTTTGTTATAATTACAACTGTTGTCCGTTTTTATGAGTCTCCATCAATCTGTAATATCTCTGTGCATACCTATTACTTAGGAATGTAGGCTTTCATGACTGGTGTCGATGTTTTGGTCACTTTCTGGGTTTTGCCGTGGTCTTCTTTGGTACAATCTCCAATTGTTTCAGTTGATACGCCAAGAAGTGTATTTCGACCACGCCACTGAAGATGACTGTTGCAGTTGAAACGTTCGGAGATTGTAACCAAAGAAGACCACGGCAAAACCCAGAAACAAACCAAAACAATTATTACTTATTGAATTCGATCGAAATGAGCGTCATTTGAACCAATGCACTTTTGAAAACTTAACTCAAATCGATCAAATGCGTCAGCAATTAAAAATGTTTGCTTGGGATTCGATGAAGCTGACAGTTTTTTGGTCCTGATTGGCGAAGTTTCTACTGATGGGAAAGTTATCGAAGTGTTTGAAATGATGCTAGCCGGTTGGCGAGATGTTTAAGGAATATGGTGGGTGAGACAGAACTCGAAAAATTTATAATGTCATGAAGCAGGATCAGAGACCTCTTCTGTTAACCCGTGCCGGCAGCCGCTTACCCAATTTTCGGTACATTTGATAAGTGTATAGAGTACAAAATTCTCTATCGATCAGTAGAATAAATATTTATTGAAATATAGACTAACAAAAACAATAAAAAAGGCTAAATGGCCTATAGCATCAAAAGCGTGTAGAGGGCGGTGTAAATTGTAGCACGTAATTTACAGTTGGAGACTGTTGGTTTCTTCTTCTTCTTTTTTTATTAATGGCTTCAGCTGCCAGGGCTATCCAGACGTTGGTTATATAGTCACAGTTGGCTATAAAGTAACCCTGTTAGTGCGTTCCACAAATCGTTCACAACGATCACGCTCATAATGGCAGTTTTTCTCATTTCACTTGCTTGCAAGCGTTATTGTCGTAAATTCAAATGGAATGGATTATGTAGGGTTTTGGGCGTGTATGTAAACATTACAAATGGCGAGGTTGAAAAACGTGGTTATAACACAATGACATCTGACAAATCAATCACATCACTTTAATAAAAATGTAGTATCCTATTATTTGCTATTGGAGAAGAGTTGTCTGATATTTTAAATAGAAATTGTGTATGAAAACAATACATTGACATGTTTTCGCTTTAATGATGCACTGCATATCATCAGAGTATATGGCTTATATAATATAAGTTGTTATCAGTTCAGTAACCACTTAGTATTCAGTTAAAACCTCCCAGTGAGAATCAAAAATGAACCTCAAAGCAGCTCAGGCGATCGTTCTTACACTGGTGGGATGTATGCTTAACAACGTTTTCCTTGAATACATTATTAAGTGAGCATTTGATATTCTACAATAAAATTTCTAATGAGATTTCTGATCCCTTATTTTCTTAGGTTAGATCCTGGGGCCGGACATTTGATCACCTTTTGCCAGTTTCTTTTCATAGCGGTCCATGGATTCATATTCACATCTAAATTTGGACATGTTAAGCCAAAGATTGCTTTAAGGGATTACATGACATTGGTTGTGTTTTTTTTTACTACCAGTGTCGTTAATAATTGGGCATTTGCTTTCAACATTCCTGTTCCATTGCACATGATTTTCAGGGCGGTAAGTTAAAAAACTGTCAGACGCAAATTCTGGAATGTTTATATAGTTCAATTTAATATACTTTTCATTGCCACCTTTCAACTTCAATTGTCTCAGAATTATACATTTCTAGATTAATGAATCTCTTCGTGAATGAAATAGAACTTCCCTTCATAGCCTTCAAGAGTAAATTAAAATATAGTCCTCAGGCAAGCTATTATGTTCAATGATGTTGAAGTAGTTAACATGTGAATGCTTTTTTAGCAGGCGAAATGAAAGGACAACTGATGGTGAATTCTCTCCTTTTTTGCTGAACTTGTGTTCTCTATGTACATTTTGTCCGGCTCAATAAATATATATTATTGAAAATATTATTTTCAGGGATCTCTGATTGCTAATATGGTCCTAGGTATAGTGATAATAAAACGACGATACACCCTGGAGAAGTATGTATCTGTATTACTTATTACAGTTGGAATTATAATTTGTACCCTATATTCAACTGGACCGAAGAAAACTGTAAGTTATTATAATACCCTGGGAAAAATTGGAAATTTCCAATGTTATTTTAGGCTTGTACCAACTGTGATGGAAGCTCAGAGCAGCTGCATGATGATCTTCCTGAAGATCACTTCTTTTGGTGGTTGATTGGAATATTTTTATTAACTGGAGCCCTGTTGCTTTCAGCAGGAATGGGAATTTTCCAGGAGCAGTTGTACAAAAAGCATGGAAAACACCCACAAGAAGCATTGTATTATACTGTGAGTCATTCTCTTCAAAAAACTTATGAAGCAATCACTCTAAAGGTGATTCATGCACTAGTCTAACGTCACAAGTTTCAAGTCGTAACAATTCATGTTTTTCATTTTTCATATCTGAAAACTTACTACTCAAGCTCAAACGTATTTTAAGTTAAGTTCATTGTATCTTTTGAAAACGTTATTTTCATCACTAGAACAAAAATGATGTCTCTCAATGCGCAATTTTGTTGTCAGCATCATCAGGAGATGATAAACTATTTCTTACAAGATATGTTAATGTTTTTATATACATCTACATGTCACATACATCTGAATGCACTCCTGACGAAGCTCTTGTATAGTGAAACACATGTTGCGGTTTTTTAAATTGTTCAGTGAAAATCTTGCATCAAAGTGTCTTCCCTATTTTTTTTATATTTTGACACAATTATAAGAAAAGAGTCCTTGATTAACGTGGAGGAAGGTAAAGGTAGTTTCAGATTATTTTTATTACTCAGGCGGGTGTAAATGAAAAAATTTTCACATCTCAAGATAGGTTTTTCAACGAAACAAACAGTTTCTAATATGAAGATAGCTACAACTGTTGATATGTTTTTTTCTTCAAATATCTGCTTGCATGAATCACGTGATTTCATCTTGTATATATTTCTAATTGTTCTTTTTCGTAACTTTGAATTTACTAGTTCATGTATATTTCTTTTCAGCACCTGTATCCACTTCCAGGATTTCTGATTTACTCAGCGAGTCTTCTGGAGCATACTACAATCGCAAATAATAGTGAATCTTTCAACATACCACTTCTCAACATTGGCATACCAATCATCTGGGGTTTTCTCCTACTCAATGTTATAACTCAGTATATGTGTATCAGCAATGTCTACATACTGACAACTGAATGTGCGTCTCTCACAGTTACTCTGGTTATTACTCTCAGAAAGTTCTTTTCGTTATTGTTCTCTATTATTTATTTTCAAAATCCTAATTTTCCTGAGGTCTGAGATTAGAAAAAAGTTGCTGGGGGCCAGATCTAGAGAATACGATGGATGCGGAAGCAATGCAAATCCCAATTCATGCAATTTGCCATCGTTTTCATTGATTTGTGACATGGTGCATTGTCTTCTCTTCAAATGGTGCTGATTTTCCACGATCTCGTTTCTCCAAACGCTCCAATAACGATATGTTCATCCATTGTTACACATCAACGCATGAATTTGTGTTTTTAACGGTGGAACAGCTTCAAATACTGCTCAGAATCATTAATTCGTTGTTGTTTTTGGTCGACTGTGAGCTCACGCAGCACCAACTTCGAACAGAGCTTTCGCATACCCAAATGTTCATGCCTCTGTTATCTCGATCAACCTCACTTTGCGGTCATCCAGAATTATTTTGTGGACTTTTTTTATTTTTCGTCAATAACGGCCTCTTTGGGGCGTCCACTGCTTGCATCATCCTCGATGCTTATTTTAACTCGACAAACCACTTCTCAATGGTTGATTTTTCTGATGCAAAGTCCGAATAATGTTTATCAAGCCAAGATTTGGCTTCAACAGTGTTTTTTTTTCGCCAAAAAGCAATTCCTAATTAACACACAAAATTCCTTTTTATCCATTTTCTTCCAACTAACTAAAGTTGTTTCATTCAAAATGTTCTATCCTACAAACTAATAGTCCAACAGCTGTGAACTTTGTACACGTGTCTTTCGAAGGTACGGGTTAACTAAAAATCATATGAATTCAATACTAGTTGCGCCATCTGTGTGTTAGCCTACGAACTTACTAATTATTGGGTTGGTTTGTTATTGCACATTAATTCCTAATTGTTATGTTAATTACTCCTTTTTGTGGTACCTTAAGACAGGTTGCTTTTTTCCGGTATGCGAAACTTGTTTTCATAAATTAATTTTATGCCAGAGGGTTTCAATTCTACCTATCGAGGTAGATGATAACACCTCAATTTCACCAAATAATATTTTTTTAACGAAAAGTATTGAAGCAAATTGTCAGGGTAACAAACTACATGTTTTCACTTGAGAATAACTGATTTTTTTTCACATCTAGGTAAGGTTAGGTTAGTTTTTAATCGAAAATGCAACATGATCGTATCGAACATTATTTGTAGATACACAGTGATGAATCTGCATTAGTGTATGCGGGTTTACCAGAGTAACTTGAGAAACCTAATCACTAATATAGATCTTTATAGTAGACTGTTTTGTTAAGAACTATCGTCATCACCAGTGTTACGTCTATGGGTGGGGTCCCTAATTTACTCGTCATTTGTAACCTAATTGTTTGTCCATCTAATCCGCATTCCAAACTTTTCTGATATTCGCAGAATTACTCACGTTCATTGGATAATCTCCTAGTCAAGGAAAGGAAAGGCTAAAAGAGGTTCCTACGTTTTAATCGTCTACAGTCAAAATTTTGCATATAGTTGACTAATATATTTTGTATAATAATAAGTAGATTTGTGGAGATTGAAACTGAATGGTTAGTGATAATATTTTGGAATGACTTCAGACCAAAGTAAATTAGCTAGTCACACAGAAAGGAAAAGTTATGACACTCACTTTTGTATGGAGAATCCCTAATAACTTGGTTTGCAATAGATATAACATATAATCTACATGCTGACCATGAATGAAGTATTGTTTTGTTGGACTTGTATCACATATATTTTTTATTACTCTTGATGGTTATATTGTCATGTTATTCAATAAATGGTTGTATTGTTTAAGAATTATTGATTTCATCCAAACCCTCGTGAGATGGTATTCAAAAAATAGTTATTAGTCTAAGTTCAGATATGATGAACACTTGTTTAGCAAGAAAATGCAATTTTTTAAATCTTTGATTGTAGTAGACTTTATAATTATCTATAATACCACAATAGCCAATTCTCAAAGAAGCTGTAACTAAGTGAAAATGAAACGCAGGAGTATAATTCAGGTCAAACTGCGTTAGTTCATTGGAGAATGGTTTAATAAACCGAAACCGGTCGTAACAAATAAAAATCAGTAGATATTAGACAAAAGTTTTTTCTTTATCCTATATTTAATATGGATTTTCATCAGATAAACAGATCATCACTCGAACAAAAAACATGATTTTCTATCACATATTCCATTGTAGATTTTGAAAAGGTCATGTCTAATTGCACACCTAACTTTATGCTACTTTTAAATTTACTTCAATTATGTGTAAGTTATTATTCCATTAATTACCTTACAAGATTGAATAAAGGAATAAGTTGAGAAATTATAAATGAATTACGAACGACAGATAACATTTATGTTATATTTCAAAAAGTGCGCTGAAATATTCTCAACGTCCACTATGGGTCGTTATGCCGTGAGCGAAAGTAATGACGTCATAAGTGACGTTTTCGCCGCGACCATACTGGTGGTTCTGTCACAGTTAACTAGCTGAACCAGTAGTGTCACTCTTGTCAGAACCTGATGTTTGTGTCATCAATAATTATTCGCCACGAGTGGATTTGTCAGCGTTTGACATTTCATATCTGTTTAAAAATCTGCTTTTCCGTTAATCAGCTGTCGCCCCCATACGAACGACAACTCTCAAAAGTTGAGAAACTTGTGCGAGCTATGGACCAACGAGGCCTTACCTTTTAACGTGTGATTCCTTACACGGTGAATCAAGATAAATAAACCTCTGACGAAGCCAGCCACTCGTGCTGGCGAAACGTTAGGATGCAGTTCCAAACTACGACGGCTTTCAAGTAGTAGTAGTAACACTGAAAATCTAGGCCACGATAGCTTTAACCAATTTTTCAAACTTCATCCTATTGGTAATATCTTCGTTGTTTTCTTTCAAAACTCTCATTTCTCTAAACATTGTTTTCATATCTTTCAAAAAACGAATACAATATGAAATAAATCAGAACTTGGAATATTACCGGCCGAGTGTTAATATTTGCCACAACAAAACTTCTCTATATCATAATTTCTCAAGTGAAACGTCGCCAGTCTAATAAGCCAAAAGCGGTAAATTCCATGAAAAATTTTAAGCAATTCACAGCGCATCCAAAAACTTTCCTCTACGATTTGATCATGCGCTCTGTGATTTATTACCAAAAAGTGGGGATAGTGGGGCTACTAGGCCTTTAGCATTCCACTGTTCACAGAATACTGATTGTGTCTGTGCTACTGTTGTTCTGTATTCAGTTTGTTCTGTGTATGTCACAAATTCAGAAATAACATGGTTCATCATAGTGATCTTAGTAGATTTCGATGGGTACTGCTAAGATTTCACAAATTTCATTTTCCTATAAAGGAGAGTACCATTTTTTGTTAATAATCTCTTGATATGTGATAGTTTTCCGTATAATATAATGGAGCGTCACCATTCCTATCTAAGAAAATAACAATATGGAACAAGGATTCATAGAAGAACCAAGTAAATCCAGCAGAGACAATAGCATAAAAGACTTGGGGACTTCTCAATCTAGCCTTAGGAGCACTAAAAGCTTGGATAAATCAAGTACAAGCGGAAGCTTCAAACATGAAAAGAATTCTATACATTTTAAAAATGATATAATTCATGACACTGACAATCAAAAACTGCAAAATGATGCTTCGTCAAAAGTGCCTCATAAAATCATAGCTAACTGGAGATCAGCTTGTGATAAAACCAAAGATAAAACGAAAGATCTGTTGAAACGATGGCGAACATTACCAGAAACTGAAGTAGAATCGGAGAAGAAAAATGATGGTATTTTGGAAAGTGAAGAAAGTAGCCAGCAAGAAAGTTGTGGATGGAGTGTTCATGTATGGAGTGAGTAAAAATAGTTGATACTGAAATTAAGATAAGAGTACTAAAGGCGAGTTTATGAAAAAAGTTGAGGCGGATAGAATATACACTTTTGAGTAAGTCGAAATAAATAGTAAGGTAAAAGTTGGCCAACTTAAGTTTATCTTATTCCATAAGTTCCTCTGAAAATGTGTTGATATGTCATGGTAGACTGGAGATTTTATTCAGCGAGAGAATGTGGTCCTAAAATTCAACTTTTTTCTCAATAAATATACCAAAAAATTTGTTTCATGATGTGTCCTCAAGTTACACTAACATTAGAAGCTGAGGAAATATCCACACTACAATTTAAAGATGATTTTTTTTGCGGCATCAACTGCTAGGTTATTAGCCGTTAAAGATGATATGTTGGTTATCCAAATATTGAATGTTAACAGATTTGCATTACACCAATCTGTGATTTTGTTGATATCTGAGTAAAGGGCGTTATGAATTTCTGAATCAATAAAGTGAGTGAACCCTCCAAGTAAATAATTGTTGAATCATTGATAAATAGGCTAGATCCCAATCTGGAACCATGTGGTACTCCGTTAGATATATGAGACATATTTCAGATAAAGTAGAATATTTAACCGCTTGACTTCTGCCAGTTCGATACAATTCAAAACATTTGTGAGTAGTTCCCGCGATTCCATAATGGTATAGTTTTCTGCTATTGTGATTAAAAATATATATTGTAACCAATGGTAGAAATCTAATATAACTAATATTGTACATTGTGCGTACTATCAGATAAACATTAGTGCTTTTACTTTAGAATGACAAATTCATTTATTTCTCGTTTCAGCTACATGGGTGGACCGCTTCAGTGTAGATTCAGGTGAAGGTACCAATGATAAGGGTGGATACCAGCTGACTTTGATTCAAAACAATAAGTTTTCACATTTTTTTTCTTGCTTATTGGACCATGATCAAGATAATCTTATTAGCGAACAAGACTTCGAAAATTTGACAGAGGTATTAGTTTTTATATTCCGATTCTATTTCTGAATGTGACCTGTTCACCATGTTGTAGTCAGAAAGCATTAATTTGGGTACAATCATTGTTTAATTTGGTTAAAAATAGATGTATGGGACTTGAAAAATGCCTAAAGACTATAAACATTTCTCAGTTGTGCTGTAAATATGTCTCATGTAATGTAATGCTTGTGAATATTTCATGCTTGCTTGTGGATAATAGCGGTTTCGTCATTTTGCTGACTGGTCAATTAATTCACCAGAATTCAATGTATTGAGAGAAATTGAAAGAGGTTTTATTGAAACCTTTTTGTCTAACATATCAGATGAAAGACTGGGTACAGTATATTATGAAATCCTTCACCAAGATGTTTGTAATCCTTTTTTTTCAACAGGGTTTACAGTGAATGATCTCAGCTACTTAACCAAAGACGGTTGGCTGCACAAATGGTCAGAAATACTAACAGGCTCAAGAAATCTGTCTGATTTTCCAATATGGCTACAGTTTTTTGTAAAAGTTCTGTTCCAAGTCATAAATAGAAGTGGTGAGGTTCAAATTTTGTCAACTCCTGAATTATGAGAGAATTAATTTTTGTTATTCCATTTTTTAGGTACCGGGGTAATAACAAGAGATGAACTTGGCTCCTTTTATTCCTCTATTCTTGGTTTGGATGCTGTGAAAGTAGGAGAAATTCTCGATTTGGCATATCAAGCAATGACTTCTGTAAGTTCAATGTCACATGATTTGCTGATTATAACTTTCATCTTTTGTAGAATGGCGATCATTTCTTGCACTACAAGTCTTATAGACTCTGTTTTGCAAACTATTTATTAGGTAGACATCCCAACGGACCAGGGCAATATATTTTGGGTGCCCCTCCAACTTTACCGTCATCTATCATGTTTCCCATAGATTATTCTGCTCTGAATGCTCAACCTGAAGATCTCGAACAGTATGCTCCAGATCACAAGTCCAATAGACGTAGTGTAATTGTATGATACTTTTGTACCAATATCATTGGCTGACAATATGAATGGTATACGCTAAAGTATCGATATTTTAAATTGGACCTGGTCTTTCATTAGTATCATGAGAGGCAAAGTAGTAATGAGATTGTATCATATCAAAATAATCCAGTTCTATCATATCAACTGTGGTAGGTTAGGAAAAAGACACTACTACACCGAAAGAAATTTTTCCATGGAGAAACATCACATCGTTGTGCACTCTAATGCTGAATTTAAGCAACTTTCTTACACAAGTGCACCTTTCCCTATAAATAAATTCTAAATGCTATGTGATATTAAAATTGTTAGAGAAAGATGTATTGTTATTTGTTTCAGAAAGATTTTTTGGGTGTTGAGTCGTGTACTACATAAATATTATTTGTTTAGGTTGGTTTTTATATTTAGCTGTTTACCAAATAATTTATCTCCATTTTTTATTTGATGAATATTATCAAAGATCTGTGGAATTTCTACCTGAATTTTTTCCAATTCTAAGGTACAGTTCAGAATACACCTGAATCATACAATACTCGCATTCATTTTTTCAAAACAGAGTATTGGTGTTATCTAAATACCGAGCAACATAATGGGTCTTGATTTTTTTCACACAATTCATGAAACTTGTAATCGTTTACTTCATTAGTGGGGCAAACTCAATTAGTATCAAAAGCAATATCTGACTTAATGAGATTTCAATCATTTTTCTGGAGTGAAAGTGAAATACAATGATTGTAAATCATTTGCAGCAATATTGGAAACATTTTTGTAGTTAATGTAGTCACTACAGTTTAGATATCTGTTTATTTTTCTTCCTGAGATTTAAATGAGATTAGTTGTGATTTTTGAACAATTATAAAATGAGCATCACAGATCAAATAAACTACTTTTTCTTATATAACGAATTAGTGATAATATAGAGTTCAGTGGAACAAAACCATATATAACGAATGAATGGAATAATTGGTAGAAAGGAAGAAATACTTTTTTTGTGTAATAAAGAGAAAACGTTATGTTGATTGTAGGTATAGTGTGTGTGCTTTCTGCAACAATTTTCTAGTACAAATTTGTCTTTAAAAATCTGACCAAAAGTTGTTTACTCCAGTGATATGTCTTCATCAATGGGTATTTATTGCAACGAATTGAAAAATGACAACACACTGTCAATAAACATTGTAATTGCTTCATGAGAATAAAAAATTGTCTACATTATTTTTTTATTTTTCAAGAACTTTTCCTGTGAAGTGGTATTATTAAGAAAGTTATAATTTACAAAAAAAAAATAGCTTTCTATTTCTTCATCGTTATATAAAAATGTGGGAAATTGGAAGAAAAGAAGGAAACAGTAATAGTTCGAAATAAACTATTCCTAAAAATGTGTAAGATCATACAAAGAAGTAATTTCCAGACAAAAACTGAAAGAGAAGCTCATTCTAAACAACCACTTTTCGATTGGGACAATTTGACTTGACTACTTTTTGCGTAAGAACAAGTTGTAGATAGTATGAAATAAAATACGTGTCATGTAACGATAGAGTTTGATCTAATTTGATTTAGTGTTGAGAAAACAATGAAATACTTGTACTTGGTGTGCAACTCATAGTATTGAAATGTGATGACTTCTTATGAGAGGGTAGACCGCTTCGTTAACAACACGTAACGGCACCAGTTTGTCTGGTTCAACTTTCACGCATATGTCAGCGGAAGGCAGGCTCCTCCTCTCTTGTCGGACAGACGCTCAGTATTTAGTGTGCATTAGACATATACTGTTGACAGTATTAAAAAAATCTAACCAGCAAGCACGTAATATTCTTCTATTACGTGGCTGGCTTAAAAATGATGATACTAATTTGTGTATGTACATTATTGATATCATTATTTAATGCTACAAAAGTAACAATTGGCTTATGGTCGCTATAATGGATGTACATACAGAAAATAATCAATAAAAGATTTTATTACTAAATAACCTTTCCTTATATAAAATTTAAGTAACAACCCAAGCTTTTCTCAAGAGTTAAAAATTTCAGTATTGAATAGTTCAACTTAGAGTAGTTTAAGTATCACTTCTGTCAGGCAACACAGAGACACACCTTTTTTTTATATCCAAATGTTGGAATACCCTACATTTATCACGAATGAAACGCATATTTATATTGAGGATTCTTTTTTAAGTTTTCCATTTAAATAATAATTATCAGTTAGAAAGCCTACATGTCTAAAATACACTCGAGCAGTAACTGACAAAAACGTCATAACTAGTATGAGAAGGAATTTCTAAGTTACGAACAGTCATAAGTTATGGAAGAACTGAAATATATAAAGGATTATAAAAACAATAACCCTTGTAAATAAATGGAATTATGACATAAATTTATTAATACTGTTACAGTTTTTCTCAATAAGTAATGCTTCAAGTCTGGACTTGGAAATATTAATATTTGGATAGTCATGAAGGAGGTTAAAAACTTTGCATCCCAAATATATTTTTCCTTTTTTTGTATAGGTTAGTTCTGTGTAAAGCAGCACAAGAAGATTTCTGCATCTAGTAGCATACTTAATACAAGCCTGTCATAGTCGAGATCTTTAGTCGCTTGAAGGACTTTCTACATGACTGCTTCCACTTCAGTCATGCCACAATTTTCATAACAAATTTTTACAAACCGAAAACACGTGACCAGTTTGAGTTACAACTTGTACCTCCGACACACTAAGACAAAAATACTGTCTCTTGTTGCATGTTTTGTTAACCAAATTAACTGCATCAGAATCTTACAACTAACTTAGATCTTTTTATATACACCTAGAAGAAATGTTACTTTCAGTAATGAGTGTGTCATTAAATGACTTCTTTTATGTCAATGACTAATTATATCTATATTCCCTTGAAATCTATTCATAATTATTATGTAAGAGAGTAAATAACACACTGAAGTTAATAAAAAGCTGTTTGAATAATTGAATGGAGATGGTCTGAGTTGATAATTTTGTCAGTGGTGTACTGAATATATGCTTTAACACTGTTTATGTTTTAATTGAGAGCTGAACTATTTTACTATGATCATATTCATCAGTTTGCAACATATAACCTCACCTGCAGATATCATCTGAGAACTGTCTCTCGTGTTAACACCATAGAGACCTCTTTCGAATATATTTCTCTCATACATTTGAATAATGTATTTTGAAACGACTGGATCAGTGAGTAATTAATGAATAAATACAACAGTTCAGCATTTCACACTATTGCTTTTCTCCACTAAACAACCAGGATTGTGAACGAATAAATTTTATTCAAATCAGAAGCACTTTTGCAAATATAAAATAAAACAGGCAATTGACCAAAGGAAACCTTTTCCAATCCACATCATACATCAATGCTATCCAACCATTGCTCACATATTTCTTTATGGTCAGTCATCAACTTCTCTTTCAATTTTTCAGCAGTGGCTTTATCATTCTCAACAAGTGATTTTGTGAATAGACAAATAATTTCTGAACATTCATTCGATAATTTTCCTTCATCACAAACATTCAAGAAAACTTGTTTAGCCTCATCTGTCTTGAAGAAGGGAATAAGGTTTTCTTTCATATCTCTGAATGAACTATTTTGCTGGGGATCTAGAATATTTGGAGGTGGCAGTGGGGGAGCTCCATAAGGCAACTTTGGTTGTGAGAGCTCTGAAGACGTTGATTGTGACTTTGTTGTAGTAATGTTGCTGGTATTCACTGGGAAAGCTACTCTTTTATTTGTTATTCGCGACTTTGGGGGAGGATTTGAAGTGGTATAATTCAACATGGGAGGATCATTCCAGCCAGGATCAACTAAAAAATAAATCAATTCAATAAGTTAATATTTCTTACAGACATTATTACCTTTAGGTTTTTGATCCATCTGTTTTTTATATTAAACAGATTCTAGTTCTATGGTTATAGTAACGTCAGATAAACATAACTTAACCTCAACATTTGTTGACACTTGACATTATTGTCAGGTGGCAGAAAAGACAAATTCATAAATTCACCGAAGAGTCCACTGATTGATTCGATGGATAGATATCCTATTTCAGCCTCCCATTCACAGAGGTGCTGAGAACACTAAAAAGTGGCACTGCCTGACTGTGACAAATTACTACTTCAATTTCCAATGTTATTTACATTTAGGAATCAACTGATATTTTGTGAAAGATTTTTTACATTAAGGTCCATGAATTGAAAATCTGAATAAAATGAGTGGCAGATTTTTGATTCTGGCTCCATCTATCAACGTGTGTACAAAACAAAATCGAATATGTTCAAACGACAAAGCATCTTTGTTCAGATACTCGTGTGTTTATCTAGATGACGCTGGCTCCATATTCAAAAAAGTTTCAAATCAAATTTCTGAAAAACGTCTTTTTTTTGTTACATTTTTTTTAAATTGTATCTTTCATTTCTTGACGTATCTTGCTTCTTGAAAGGTGTTCTCGTGAATTGTGCTAATTGTTCTCTGCAAAAATGGTTTTGGGAAATTTAGATACTGAAGAAATGAAAATTTGCAAAATTTTAATATCCATCATTAACGTCTTTGGAAACGATGGTTTGCTTCTGGACGAAGTTGAAAGGGAGTTCATAAAGTATTGTGGATTCGCCATTCCATACAAAAAATTTGGCGCAGAAAGTCTAAAATCTTGGATAGTAACTTTGCCGGATATATATCTGGTAAAAGATGCCCACAACAATGACATTCTGATTCAGCAAAGTATGAAGTCTATTCATATCAAAGATTTGATTTCACAACAGAAATCGAATCGACGCTCTTCAAAATGGAATAATTATAATAAACGTTATGAACAAAACACTCAACTACAAAGAAACAGCGAACCACACTCTATGCCGTATGGATCTTTCATTCACAGTTCCATCAACACGACAGCTATAAATGACTGCGAAAGATTCGAAACATTTCAGCGATTGGTATGTTGAATACACCAGTTGAATTAGTGTCGACTCTATCTCATTTTAGGAATCAATGTTGCCTCTGTTCTATAAACATCAGGCTCTTGGTGATGATTTCTTTTTAGACATTGCGGATACTAAGCTTGGATATTATGTACCCGAAAATGGTAATTCAATTGTGTTTGTTGTTCCAAAAATTACATATAATTTTATTGGTGCTGAATATGTAAATGACATTGTTCCTTCAGTGCAACACAAGAAAGAACAACTTCATGATTTGGCCACTTTTTTTTCTGTCTTTCCAACAGCTGCTGTGGAGTTTTTTAACAAAATTTTGTTTTAAGCAGGACCCAAAGAATGTGGATTATGCATTGCTGGTCAATCTATTAGTGACCTTACAGAGAAGGTCAAAAATGCCATTCATTTGGCACCAAGGGTTGTCGTGATGATAGGCTTTAAAGATTTATTACAGGTGAAGTATTTAAATATAGAAAATTTACAAGGAATCTATCGTACTTTCTTTTTGCAGAATCGAAACGTCAATATTATGATATATAATTTGAGACTTTTAGTAGAAGAACTGAAGAAAAAAAATACTCGAGTAACACTGGTCACTTTAATACCTTCCCCAAAACTACCAGACTTGAGAAAACTTCGAAATAGAATGGACGTTTATAACAAAGCAATATTGGACTACGCTTGCGGTAAGACATCATCTCCGTCAATGTCTTAAGACTAAAGAACTACTCAGTTACAGAATATAATAATACTTTTGCCTGTTCTGATCGAATGACTTTATTTTACAGATAATGAATTACGATGCAACATCATTGACATGAACGCCATATTTAAAAAAGAAACGGAAATGTTTCGGAGAGAACAGTAAGAGTAATCAAATAAGCGTAACTGTGAATTTAACTTTTCATTTCATTTCAGTGACAGATTCATGAAGATTGCCAAAAATGATATTTACAAGGTATTTTCAGATTATGGCAGAAAAATATTTTTGAGTACTTTAAAGACATGTTTGAGAGAACAGCTGGAAGCTGGTCACTAATCATAGAAAAATTAGACTAGTTTTAAGTAGTTAGTTATTTTTTAAATGCTTTTTATGACAAAAACATGATATATATGTAAGGTATTGAGGGAGCATTAAAAACTGCTTTTCTCAATTTGAAAATCATCCGGGTAATCGGCTCCATTTCGTTTGCATAATGTAAGTGCACAAACGTTATGACATTCGGAATGTTAGCAGAGTCACCTTCGGGTTACTTTCAAATTATTAATTCAGTTTTGAAATATGGTCATACATATATAGAAAAATATATATATATATATATGTACCAACGAATGAATGAATAACAAAAATACTGAGTTTCTGAAGTACTTATTTGTTGTTTTATGTATGTATATGTTGAGTTTATATGTATTTATTGTATAATTAGATTCTAAGTGTCTCCTTTGTAATATTTTTTCCCAAAAAACATTCAACCGATGGATAGTTAAGTTAATATATTTATTGAAAAAAAATGTGTCTGATTTTTCTAAACAACTTAGTCAATTTTTTGAATACACCCTTTACTTGGTGAAAAACAACACTGTTCATGATAATAATTACAAATCTTCACAATATAGACTTATTTCTAAAATGCGTTTCACTACCACAGTAGTTTCTTCAGATGGACTGGTATTCTACAATGATTTACAATGCAATTTATACGGATCTTCATGATTGGACTCGATATTTCAATTAGGTACTTTATCTGAAGAATATGAATTAATGATAAAGCCCTTGCGCCTCAGTGTTGTTATTAGTAAATTATACTCAAGGTGTGAATCAAAATGGCTACTTCAGTTTCCTCTCTACTAAAATGAATGTGCAAATGTAGGTACTCTTTCTGTTAACGAAAAGATTATTATTCTTCACCAAAATCCTTCGTATACCGTTGATACTCTGGTGGAAATGTATTTGCAACTGACAGGAGTTTCAAAGTCATCGATAGGTAAGTATATATATTCAAGATTGGAAAAAAATAAAGCTGTGAAATCATCTTTAGGATTGTGCTCAGTAAACATTGCTCACGTAATCTTGTAGGAAGGTAAAAATTCTTGCAGGTTGGGTCTCCCAGACATGAATCTCAACCAGGTTAATCATTTTCGACAAAAAAAATCCAACCCTCACCTAAAAAGTTAACCATTTCAGATAAAATGTCTAAAAAGTTCATAAAATGTTTTGTTTGCGACCCTTTTGGGATACAAAAGTATAGCGGTCCTGGTTAATTATAAACTGTACTAGACCACTTGTGACAGATCAGAAGAAAATCACGAAATTTTGTTTGAACACTTTGCATATAAAATGATCATTTATTACTCTCTACTATCAGGAAACAGAGTATAGTAACAATAATTTTATCTGTTTTGTATCTGTTCTTAAAACTACATACTTCAATGAACGAGTTTCTCGACATTTATTTCTTAAAATTTATGAGAAAATTCGCTACAAAAATGATGCCATTGATTTTCTACGGTTAATCTGACGGAAACCTCAAAAATCACACGACCAGCTAATATTTCATCCTCTACTGTTTTAGCAAACCCAGAGTATTTGAATCTGAATTGAAACACACGGCTGATAATCATTAGTCATAATAATGAATCATTCTCCAGATGTTCCACACTATGACTAAATATTTTGTGGAACATCACCTCTCCCCTGAAATAACTAATTTTGAGATCATAAAATTACAAGGAACAAATTGGCGAGCCTTTATTAATTCCTTCAAGCAATTAGAGATTTTAAGTACATAAACATCAAACTAAATAAAGTTTCAAGACAAATCAAACTGAAGAATTTCTGAATGAAAACTTTGAAGCATCTAACATAATGTCAATATTTTTTGCTGTTTTGTTGTTTCAATTAAAAAATGTTTTCTTCGTGTATAAGTGTATTTTAGCATAATAATGGTAGGAAAATAAAATATTTGTCATTACCGTTGAAATAAGTGAAAACTTATCAAAAAATATCTATATTCTAGATACAAAATAACAGCAAATAATATTTGAATAAATAATGAGAATTTGTAGAACACAGTATTACATGTAGATTTTTCTCAGGTCTGCTGGTGATGTTATCATATTACACTGGGGGCATAACTTTTTGGCTCCTAAAGTCATCAGCCAGCATTCTTCACAATGGACATGCCAACAGCACACAGATATAACAGGATTTCTATAACGTTCCATACAAATTAGGCATTTGAACACATCTTCCTTATTCTTACTTTCCAATTCACGAATCCGTCTCTTTAATACTTCTATAATAGGATCACAACCAGAACTATGTTCTGTATTTATGGAGTCGTTATCAGTTCTTATACACAATTTTTTTGGCTGACTTCCTGTAACAGCCATACGAAGTGCTGTAGCACCTGGGTTGTCACATGGAAGGATCACATCTTTTTCATGGTACTGTGGCAATCCATACATTTGGGTGTCATCTACATCAACGTTTAAGTCTTCATCTTCTTCTGCCATGGTTATTGATGTACCCAAATTTGACACACTTCCCTGCAAAAGAGCAGTAGCTCGTATACGAGACTGCCCGGCCCATTCATACTCTTCAAAGGCTTCCACGTCTATGTTTTCATCGCTCTCACTACCGTTTGCTGTCTCTGACCTTCTCAAACACAGTTCTACATGAAGTATGAGATCTTCGCTTACCTCATTATTGCATATAGGGCAAGTATCCTCAGCTCGCCTTTTTCTGGTTTTGGTCCTTTGTCTAGTCTGCCTATTGGACCGTACCTTTTGGAATGTCTCCCAGTTTTTGTCAGTATTATTGTGTGATGAACTAGAAGGATTGCTTTTACTATTTACCTTGTATTTTGATGAGGGAAGTTTATTGAGCTTTTCAATCTCAGAGTTCAAATGTATATCAACTTCCGTGTCTCTTATAGTCACACTGCAAATTGGACAGCATGTTGGATCAGTCTGTTTCTTTTTAATTCTACAACTTCTCACCCCTTCCTCACTTTGATAACTACTACTTGGAACAATTTCATTGTCCCTGATAAGCTCCATTGTATTCCATTAAATAAAAGTTTCCCCACATTCACTGACACATTTGATAAATTTCCAATTGCCAATTTTTCAATGAAGATACCATAACAAAAAGATGTTCTTAGATTTTACCACCAACATTATAAAGAGGTTAACTTTTAGCAAATATTCGATATTACATTGTAAACTATTACACTTTCGATACAAAAAAGATAATCATGAATTAAAAACAACATTCAGTTTTACAGGATCATTAACCAATTTTAAATTTTTACTGGATTCAAACAGTTTCAATATATAAACAATTATTTTTCAAACAACATTATCAATCAAATAATAAACACGAAACAACACCTGTCAGAAACTCAGAACAGTTGGAACCATAGACAACTAAAGAAATAATATTTTTGCTGAGATAGAATTCAACAAAAATACTTTTCTCATACACCAAAAAAGTGACATTTTTCTCGAAGTGCAATCACTTACCATATTATAGGACGCCAAACATTGCATAAACCACATACACCTCAATGCATATACAGTGTTCGGAATAAAATAGATGGAATATCTTCGAAACATATTTTTGAGAAAGAATGCGAAAACAGGCCGATTTCTAGTTCAAAGGGGGTATCTTTCAATGATGACCTCTATTGTCTTACCTCGTTCCCCGTCCCTTGGTTACTATCGCCCTAAGAATCTGAACAGGGAAAGTATTGAGTGACATATCTTTAAAAAGGTTAATTTATAAGTAATTTATCCATGTGGCTAATCACACATTATCTTTTCATTTTGATGTAATCTCAAAAAATAGAAAACCTAATTGGCGTCTTCAGGAGATGAAGAAAATTTCTTCATTCATTCGGGAAATAAAAAAAAAATCATCCAGTGTGCGGCACAGTTTTTGGTGCACTGTATATTATAATATGTATAGGGAACACCATCCAAGAAAATTATTACCGCGGCAGCTTGACAAAGTGCTTTTGTTAGATATATTCTTTGATGAGAGCTGCAGGAATACAATTCAAGTGATCCATATATATTCTTCTTCATGAGAAGGGATAACTTGATTAAAGAAACTTCTTTTGTCAATAACTACATACGCGCCATCGAACAGGCCCAGGGTTCGTATATACGAACCCTGTTTGGCAATAATGTTGAAAGCCATGCACGACTAATGGAAAAATATTTAAAAAACCGTGCTTCAGGGTGTAATAGGGCTCATGAAACACGATATCGTACGAAGCACGGCCTGCTCGGTCGGGTGTCAAATCAAATCCACCTCATAGATATTACACTGAATAATATAGAAGAGTTGTACAATGATCAACAGAAGAGAAAAATAGGAAAGAGCAACGTAAGTTATCGACAAAACAACTAAACAGGGTTCATATATACAAACACTGTCTCTGTCCGATGGCGCATCAACTCGAATGTAGCAAAGATGGTCACTTGATGAGGTTACAGATTCTTTTGATTGTAAACGTCAAACGTCATATGGTCAAGGTTAAATACGTGATTCTGGAACTCCTGGCTGGATAGACCTGGCAGCTGAAGCCATTATTGGAAAAATAAGAAGAAGAAGAAATGACAGATGTCAAAATTACATTATTTTTTTATGGTCCGATAAACAATTTTCCAAAAAGTTTTGGACCAGCAGCTTATTATAATTTTGAAAAATGTCATTCAGTGTTGATTCAGACTTGGAGACAAAAGTTCGGAAATGTAACCAAATCATTATTAAAACTCTTGTTTTTCTATCAACAATTATTTTTAGCCACTGAAAGAATATCAGAGAATATGCACATTGTAGCAAATGAACCCTCGTTGGCTTTCTACAGACTCCAAGAACATGTGAGAAAAGCCTTGAATCCTATGGTTGATCGTAGAGTAGACGTCAGCAAGTTACATACAGAACTACAAGGCCGCTGTTATGATATGGAATATGCAGTAGGGTTTGTATTACAGACATTTTCGTCAGTTTCTAATAAAGTTGAGAATAATGATATTTTTAGAGCAATAAAAGCAATGGCCGCAGCAGAGGAAAGTTTCAAGAATATACAAGACAATTTAAAAAATGCCATATTTCTCAAACAACAACTGAAATATGAGGAATCAAGAAGAAAGAAATCAGATACCAGTTCGGTTTATAAACGTTTATCTGCACATATAACCTTAGATCTCCCAGAACTGCCCGAGTTATCAGATGTCGTTAGAGAAACTGCTAATCGTGTGGAACATATGATGTCAAAAGCTACACATTCCTCAACTAATAGTTAGTGTTCATGTCTCCTGTAGGTTCTGCTTGTTATGTAAATAATGCAATATATTTTTTTGTACATTTTTTGAATTTGTTGAAAACAGCAAAATTAATTTTGAAAAACTAATTGATGGAGGTATTCTCTTTGAACGCAAAAATTACTGTCTGAATGTTATTTGGGGAGATGAGTACACAAGTTATTTCTGGCATAGGTCTGTCACTCTCTTTAACTTTTGAAATATAGTAAATATGAAGAGCAAATTACAAATTTTGCTTAGTAATATTAGGCAGTAGCCTGCAAAAAAAAAATCAGATTGGCATCTCGATGATGCCTATTATATATTTCACCAATGTTCAAAAACTACAAATATATAAAATTTGAATGAAATATACTACATATTTCATTGATTTCAGATATGGATATCTTGAATAATTCTTTTCAATTCTATGAATTACATCATGTCTGAAAACTATCACAAGTTTCCATAAGAAGTAAAAGAAGGTTTAATATCCATAAAACTTTTACAAATCGTACAATTTAGTAAAACTACTGAACCTGATCAGGGATTTGAGGTGCGGTAAAATATGGAATACAAGAAAAATTAGCAGACAGACAGCAGAAAGCGACTTTGTTTTATACGTGTGATAAACTTTCCTTTCAAATCAACCTATCCATAAAAAACGCATTTAAATCCCTCGCATAGTTTTAAAGATCTAAGCACATTATTTTACTATGATCTAAGCAACATAAGGACAGCGGGAAGCAACTATGTAGATATGAAGGAATAACAATTCTCGTCAGCTCGGTAAAGAAGAGTTTTTTGACATTACCCCGACTTAATACTCGATTCGATTATGGAAGTTTCCACAATGTGCATCCTACATTTCGTTCATCTTAAAGTGAAGTGAATTGGAAACAAAACTATTAAGCATCAGACAATAAACGCACACATTTTTAGCAACAACACTAAATTTTTACGTTTTTCCAAAAAAATAAGTTTTTGGTATTCTGTCAAATGAAGTTGTAAAATTTTGTCGTATTTCCATAATTTCAACAAACAGTAGAGAAAACATTGCTATGGTTATTATAATTAACAGCAAAATGTGCATATTCAAATAGGTTTCTTCAATCTAGGAGCATCGTTAGTGACGTAACTTGGCTCAAAAATAATGTTTGAAGTTGGCCATCCGTTTGACGGGTATAATCCCTAAGTCTAGCTGTCATCTGTCAAGTTTGTTTGATTCTGACAAGTGTCAATACTTTTCAGTTCTGCAAAAATTAACAAATATATTAGTGTTAATAATAGTGTTGTTGACATAGTGACAATCAGTGTTGAAGAGGCGTTTATAAAGGTAATATCTGAATTAAAATTTTACTCAAATATTTGACTTCATTAACCTTGACTTGGAGAACTAGACACTAATTATGTCAGCTTATTTTTGTGCCGTTGTCGTGACAAATAGGGAAGCAGGATATTTATCTTGACCGTTTTTTTCGGGATCATTTGTAGTGTTTATAGTTTCACTGAATTTCATTATTTGTTGATTGTGGTGCAAGCCAGTAGAACAACTACCTTAAATTATGGACCTTCTGTGCCAATAACCTTAATTGTTTAGCTTATTGCAGGAAGCAAGAAATCCCAAAACTTCTTTGCGGGGTTGCCAGTTCAAATTTCAACAATTCCCCAACGGGAGCAACAAATTGAAATCACCACTTCAACCCAAAAACATCTCCACTAATGAATAGATTTTTGAATTTTTACATGTAACTTGAATCAGATACTTTTTTTGAACCACAAAATATCATTTCTTCCAACAATGTTTTTACATTTTGTAGTATCAGTTTTTAATTTATTACGTGTGCATGAAATGCTGAAAGCATTTATTGAACACATACCAGCTTTCATCAGCCTTTTTTTAACTTTTGAGTTAACAATTGTGTTCCATTTTGCATATGCTTTTTGAACACTGAACCCTTGAAAATTAAAGGTATAAGAAATCTGTAAAGTCAAAATTGAACAATACTAACTACAACAATCACATAAGTAGAGCTTTTTTTTCATTGTTCAGAACTTATCATCTGCCAGAAATTCAATACTAGGTAGTAGTAAACTAAAACTTTTATTCTTTATTCCAGTGGTGATTCAGAAAACGTGTATGCAGATCGTTTTCCAGGTTAGAAATATCTAACAAATTCTTGACGTTTTGAAAAAACCCGCGAGAGCGGGATTTTTCCTAATCTCTGGCAACCCTGCATCCTGTTAGGGATCCGTTATTATTCGGAAGTAACTACACATGCGTTCGATAATTTTGTAATTTGCAATTGACCAAACTTAAATGTGACGCAAAAACTGGCGCATGGCGTCAGTTTTAACGTGAAAAGTTGAAAAATGTTGATGTGACTGCTGTGAAAGCTCTCCGTTCATTCCGAGTAACAACAAATATCAGTCATTGCTTCTGAAGTTTGAGGAAGCCGTATAAAAGGGGTTGGCGAACTTGGCATATTTTGTGCGCCGCCTCTTCAAATATTGATTTTGGGCTGGACGGACGAAACGTCTGGTGGCTAAAAGAAAATTGTGTTCGTACTCTTAAACATCGCAAGAAACAGAAACTATCGGCATGTAAATATCCTAATTCTAAAAATTTATCAACATGTTTTGGTGTGGTGTTAAAATTTGTAAACATTAACTATTAACATTAGATTTGTTAACAGCAATGGTTTCTGGTGTTTCCTGACTATTGATTCCTATTAAACATAATAATTATTGTTATAAAGTGAGAGTGAATTGATGTTGCCCAAGGGTTTTTTGCTCGAAATATTGTCAGATTGTTTTAGTGTTTACCTTTTACCTTGTTTGGAGAGCGGTAAGATCGTTAACTTTCATTGATGTTGTTTCACGGAAGTTAATTAGAATCGGTTCTTGTGCTCGAGATCCCATTAATGAATCATAGTCGATTTACCTCTATTTTATTGGTTTTTTTTCCCTACTCTAGGTGGTTTAGCGTTATTTTTATTCGTAGGTTCTCAAGAAGAGTATTATGGAAGTTATATTTATAGAATCTAAATAGAAATGACCAGTTTGACTTTGGCATTAGATAATATTGATGTTAGCGAGAATACAGAAAAAATTAGTAAATTATTTCCTAAGTGCAGACCAAGAAGCGACATTAACTTAAATCCCATTATCGCCTCGGAAAGAGACCATGAATGTATTGAAAATTCAACAAATACTGTCATGAATGTCGACAGTGAGAATGATAGGTAATTTTTTTTTCATTCACCCTTAATCTCATCAACATCTTCATCACCCCTATCATTGGAAATAACAAAAAAACATTTACACTATAGAAATTTAATTCTTGAATTATCGAGATTCGGATACATATATTATTTTCTGTTGAAACATGTCCTCAGACCTAGCGACATATGTTACAGAAACCTGAATAGGAAAACCTAGTAAATTTCTTTTGTAATGAGTCAGCTATGAAATGTGTTTTCAGTAAATTGTAAACCCATATAAATTTCGTTTCAATTACACTTTTGTTTGTTTCTACCGAGTTTTCAACATCGTTTCCGAAATCATTTTTAAGCAGATTAATATTGAAAAATCGTTTATTTGCTAAATATCTAACACAGAAAGCTGGATAGGTCTTTGTAACATTATCTCTAAGTAATGAAGATAACATGTGTAAACCTCTTGATAGGATAGTTGGGATAGGAGTCGTCAAAGTATGATTTACAAAAGATTATCAAAAGTAACAAAAATTGTCTTATTGAATACATAATATGATGCCATTTGAATTCCTGTCATAACTCTCAATGTCATTCGCGAAAATGTGTCAAAAACAAAAGTCTATTTTCTTTAAGTATTCATTTTCGTTCGTTAAGCAAAGAACAAAACAAAAAACGTCAAAAATTAATAGTTTAATTGACAAATGACATTGACAGACAGATATTATGTTTACTTTCATCCTAATCGAATATCGTCAATCGACAGTATCGGGTGAGAATTTATTTGGGATATCTTTTCATAATCATCATGATAACTGACACTAATGGCTAATACACAGTGGGTGATTCAGAGGAATTTATTCGACAATATGTTTTGTCAATTGTCACTTCAGGTGGACATGAAATATATAAAAAAAGGTGTTTTCTCATCTCATATTTTCATTCACTAGTTATAAACTGAAATGATGAAATATTGCCGGTTAATTTTAATGATAACTCACTTGTTTTTTATGGTACATTATACAATGATTAGCGGTTAGTAACTTGGTCGAATTTCTTAGGTAAAATATTAACTTTATTTCCAAAATCCCAGATATCTTCAGATGCTTTGTAATTGAAATGAATTCAAATTGCTGGAAACATATTTTATTTTATTCCACGCCGTATCGAGATTTACTGGAAGGTTTGTCTGACACCCCACGTCATATTACAATCATAAGTCATCCATCATCCATGTCATGATTCACCAACTACATTTATGTCGTGGAAGGAGTAATAGAAACAGAGTATTGGTTATCTAGATTGCGTTCAAAACGAAGATGGCCCAAGAACAGAGCATTGGGGAACATCTAGGTTCACATCTTCGACCATTGCAAAAAATTTTCTTATGCAAGCTTCAATTTGTGTTGTCATGCTAATAGATATAATTTTTGAAGGGCCGTTTTGATGGAAGAAACTTTGGAGGCTCAATAACACCTAGTATTGATTTTTAATGTAGTTATTGATAGTTCTTTCTTTCAGCCAGTTTTTATATCTTGAGCACTGTTCTTGCGCAATACCGACGAGGTATTTTAGATTAGGAATAATCAAAGACCCAATACCATTAAAGTCCAGCGATAACTGAAAAATGACGACATTAAAACTGACAAAACTTTCAATACGTTTTATACGAAATAAAACCCATCAGTTTATTAAATTCTAGTGAAAAAGTGTTACTTGAATAATTTATTTCGAGCGAGACCTATAACAATTTTACTTTGATGCTTTCATGTATCTCAGAAAACCAGTCTGACATCTTCTTTCACACCACCGATAATACAATATCCGGATCGTCTAGGAGGTTGTGAAAA